TGAGACTAGACACTTGATCTGTCACTACACTAGGTAATAAAAATATAACCTTAGAAGTATTCCAGTGAAAAAGTCAGAATAATGTTCTAATATTTTATCTTTGGATGAAAAGTCTTATGTTCAGAAATAGAAAACTAAACACAACAGAATCAGAATTTAGACCAGCCATTCTGTAGTAGTTCAAAGTATTTCTGTATTAGCTCTTTGAAATCAATCATTTGCAGATTTGTACCTCAGAATCAACTTAATTATGCTCTGCAAACTGCTTAATATAGCTATTTCAGCATCTTTTTGGTGGAGACACCACCTTCTGACTCAAGAACACAGCCTTTCAGAGTCCCGGTTTTGTAAAATTCATAGCAATAAGAAGAAATTAAAACAGTACCATCTGCATAATACATCAATGCTGTCTGGAGTGCTGACACTTTAAATATTAGTAGCAATTAAGCACTTATATTCAGATATTTTTTTAAAAAGAAACAACTTCATCAAAGGGAAGAACTTTCTGAAGAACCAAGAGAGAATACAGTTTTTGGTACTCTGATAAATTTCAATCAACACATTTTAAATAATCAAATCACATCACAGGATTTTGGAGCTTGAAATAATTTTAACATCAGCAGTGTGGCAGAATGGCACAATTTAATTTGCTAAATTGAGTTGAATCTGGTTGAAGACCTTATTTCTCAATGAAAAGACCTTGCCGTTGATTCAACTTGCAAACTTCTTTTCAGCTCTGGATATAATTTTATGCAGTTTGCTTCTTGAAGACATTTACATTTCTCCTTAGGTGGTGAGTACCATTTGGAAGCAACCTAATTAAACGCCAAAGAAGAAATTTAATAGTCGTACCTGCTAAAAATATATAGCTAGGTCATTCCTTAAAAATATAACTCTTCTAATAAGCTTTTGCCGGGATTTCAAAATCCAAAGAAGATGTGGCCTTAAGTGCATATAACCATTATCCACAGAAATATATATATATTTAAAGAACACATGCTAGCTACTCCTTAATGGTGAATTAAACCTGAATTTCTAGAGAAATCAAGAAGGCTGAAAGACATTTAAATTAAATGTTGAACAAAAACACGGAGTAGCCCTGTAGTTGGGAGACTACACGCCAGTGATTCAGACACTCAATCACACTGGAGAATCAATGCATTGTGATTTTCATACAAAGCGGAAAATGGAAACTAATGTGTAATTACATGGGAAAAGGAAATTTCATTTTCAAACACTAAAAGGTATAATCAGTTGTTATAGAAAAGGAAAAAGAATATAATAGGTGTAAGTAAAATATCTTGTAGTGGCATTTCCCAAGCGAAGTTTGGTCGTAAGAGACCTGTATGGTATGGGAGCAACAATATTGTGAGGGTGGCAAGGACTGGGAATCTGCATCAAGGCTAAATAGATTCACATCCCAGCTAGTAACCTAACCTTTCTGTACCTTAGCTTCCTCATTTATAAAACAGAAATAATAATAGGACCAACTCACAGGAGAGTTGTGTGAATAAAGTGAGTCAAAATATGTAGAGTATATAGAACGACGCCTGGAAAATAGTAAACACTCAATAAATGTTTCTTTTTCCTTTTCTTCTTCTCCAACTCCTGCTCCTCCTCCTCCTCCCCTTACCCGTCCTTTTCTGGTTTTCACATAAATAAGGGACAGGTATGCTATTTGTTTAGACTTACATATTACCCTAAACTTAATACTATAAACATGCAACCAGTAATATTTCAGTTGGAGATAAAATGCTATCTTTATATTGGCTTCTCTGAGTTTTGGTAGTCAGTCAATTACAATGGTTAATCAATGCTGTATCTTACTAAGGGGCCTGCACTCATTAGATGGCATTCTCTTTGTTTAGATTTTTTCATGTTCTTTTCTCCAAATTATTTAGAGAGCGTAGAATTTCCACTCAACCCTGAAGGCTAATAAAACTTCTCCAAACAACTAGCCGGCTGGAAACTTCCAGAAGCTCTCCCTAGCTAGACCTAATCTAAATATAGCAGCAAACTCAAGGTACAATCGAAGATTCATCAAGAGTGATTTAGCAGACTGTAACTCAGTTTGGCTCCTGTGAACGAGAAGCCCCGTTGTGTGCCTTTGGTGTCCAGCTGCTCAGAGGTATTTTATGCTCGCATATCAAAGATGAAGGAAAATCTCCTGGAAAGTGAATGTATAATCATGTCAGCTGTGGATTTCACTAAGAAAATCAAGTACTTCAACCCAAAGAAATGTTCCAGAAAGACTCAGAGCCACAGTAATCCAATATCTAAAGGACATGATGTATGTAAAGGCAGAGCTGGTTTCTAGCTATATATTGACTACTTTGAAAAATGTCACCCTCTTTTCCAGAAAAGGACAGATCTTTAAATTAAAATGCTTTTAAGAACAGCCAATCAAATCAAGAAACAAAATGTGTGGCATTTCTTTGTAACAATACATAGCAATTTATAAAAATTTATTAGCTTGCATTTTAAAAAAAATTTATTCTCAGTAAATGTGAGAAAACATTTAAATTAGGCATCCTTTTTCATTATTACCTCAATTTTGCAAAAGTGTTAAGCTGGAGGGGGAGAAGGAGGGCAATTCTGGATTCTATTTTCAACATGCTTAATTAACTAATGAAGTTAGATTTAAATAGGATATCCTTGTTGCATCTCCATATTTCACAAAACAAAAAGCAATGATAGCATGCAATCTTAATGAAGGTACTATAAAACGTAATGTGTGATTTCCCCTAAGTACTGTTTTGAAGTAACATTTATCTTAATACCAGTATTATCTTAATACCAGTCTGTTCTAACCGCACTTGAATGTTTTTAGGAAAAGCACTTTATAAACAACCCTAGACATGAAAAGAGTTCTAGATTATAGATATATTTGAAGTCTTATTGTGATATTTTGGAATTCTGATGGGTACTTGCTGCATATCAATGACCTAAATATTGTCTGAAACTCCAGCAGTCAACTTTTCTAGTACAAGAAAAAAGAAAAAAAGAAGTCTCCCACTTAAATCTTGGAATTTACTTAACTTGATTTCTCAGCATCATAAGGTAGTTCTAAGGCATTGCGTTAAGAAGATCTTCAAAGTTTTGTGATTCCTTGCTGCATTAAACAAAACTAAGGATTTTTCTTGGGATGATTGGTAATATTTGATAAAAGTATTTCCCAAAGTGTACTCCACAAAACATTAAGTTCATGAAATGCTACTTGTAAAAAGATTGTATGACCAAATAGTGGAGAAATGCCAGATACTAAATCTTCATTACCATCTCGAAGTTTCTTTAGAATACATGCTCTCTGAAAGCAGGGACTTTGTCTAAGCCTTGTTCACCAGCATAGCCTCAAACGTGCAACAATGCCTTGCAATTAGCAGGGATTCAGCAGGAAGAAATGAAGGAATGAACAAATGAACATTAAAAGCTTTGAACAGCTATCCAGCAAAGAAACTTCTTTCACCCAGAATATTTCATACCAATTTGATCACAGGAATCTTTTGTTTTTTCTGTTAGCATTGTAGAATATTTTAGGCATATTGTTTTTTAAAAGAAAAGACAGCATAGATAATAATATTACAAACACACATGTAACCACTACTAATAGTAAGAATTAAATGTAACAGACACAACAGAAGTTTCTTGGGGACCCTTCCTCCATTTCATTCATCTCATACTACAAACCCTCCCTCAAAATGAGGTAACCCAACATTAGGACTTATGTTTGCTGACTAAGATTCTGCTCTGAGAAATTCTGAACTAAGGGATTACTGAAGTCCCTTCAAGTGCTAAGATTTTAATTTATTTCTAGCTAGCATATATGTTGCAACTTGTCATCTATAAAACTATCCACTTATTGGATTAATACAATAACGAGTAAGAAATGAATGAAATAAAACACAACGTTACAGAAATAAGACGATGGACAATTGATGTAAAATGATATCTATGAAGAGGTTAGGCAGCTTCTTTTTCAAATGGACTGATGTAAAATTTAAAGATACATATCTATACATAGATATTAATATGTATATATATATATCTATATCTATATATAAAGTGACATAAGAAAACATAGAAGTATTTACTTGACCTGGACCGAGTAATTTAGGAACTGTTTTCTACAATTACGGAGAAAAACATCCCTAACAATATATATAATGAGTTATGACTTACAAAATTATCTGGGACTGCAAAAGCAAACTTGTGTCTAGATCAATATCCGAGTGTGCCCAAATTTACCTAATAGATGCTGCTAAGAAGAGGAGACCCCCTTCCTGAGCTGAATAAATAATTACTAATAAAAAACGTCTCTTTTATCAAGATCCAGCAATCTATGATAGAGAAACACATATGAGTTAGTATAGTTTAATAGGAAAATAAATATTTTAAAAAATTTAGTCAATATCTTTCACAGCCTAGTTTTGCTATAACCCTTCTTCCAAAAATTTTCAAATATCATTATAGATATTTCTAAATTGTCTTAGAAAAACTTTAAGTATGATGCTAACTAAATGTTTTTTGCATGTTTAACTTTTGTCCCTTGCTTCATATGAAAGATAAAAAGGCCTAGTAAAGTATATTTCCATGTTGCTCTATTTCTTAATTTTAATTATGAAGGATGTTGAATAGTCAACTTATTGAAAAAGTAGTTGAACTGAACAACACTGTGCTGTGTAGATAATCTCATATGCAATTAAACCAAGGACTAGATCAACAAAGAATAACAAGATGTGTGGATAAACTGTCACTTTATAATTAGCCATTGGTGTCATGTAGTTTTATAAGCAAATATAAAGATTAGAATTCGATTCCACTATTGAAACAATTTCATTTTTCAAGCCACTTCATTGAATTCTCCCCATGCTACATACCAAAAGGGAGTGAAAAATAACTTCACTGTATATTTAGAGGCCCACAAGTCCTTTCTCATAGTTAAATAAATAAAATAGATTAGTAACTAAAAATATTTATAAAAGAATAGTATCAATTCTTACCTCCATTATCTTTTAGATGTAATGCTATCTTGGTATCATCTGGAAGAGAAATTCAAAGTTATTATAATAGAAAAAAATTTAAAGGTGCATAAATCTCATGACCAGCAATTGTCTACTAATGACTTAACGGTAACATGAATAGATTTGAGATTTTACTAATTTCTAGTGCAATGGGATCAAGACCTAGCCTTACACAATGTAGTACTAAAATTTCTTACTGAGGTTGTAAGATCAAAACTTTAGTAAAGTATTATGTCAATATTTGTAAAGATTTGTAAAATATGTAATATGTAAAATATTAGTAAAGATTTGTCAATATTTAAAAATTTAATTTCAAAAGTTATATGCTTATTCATTGCTAACAAATATGACCAAAATCAGATATGAAAAGATCTTGTCCTTAATGAACAAAATGTAGGACACATTTTTTTCATTTCAGTGTTATATTTCATTTTAAAGAGTAGAGTTCAAATTGCAGAAATATCTTAGGCTATATAACAATCCAAAATAATATGGATTTTTTTTTTTTTTTGAGGAAGATTTTCCCTGAGCTAACATCTGTTGCCAATCTTCCTCTTTTTTTGCTTGAGGAAGATTTTCCCTGAGCTAACATCTGTGCCAGTCTTCCTCTATTTCGTATGTAGGTTGCTGTTACAGCATGGCTGCCAACAAGTGGTGTAGGTCCATGCCCAGGAACTGAACCCAGGCTACCGAAGTGGAGCATGCCAAACCTAACCATTAGGCCATGGGGCCAGCCCCTATAACATTGGTTTTAAAAGCAATAAAATGTATTTAGCAGCTGTCTTCCACCTAATTTTATCACTTTATTCCAGTTAACTTTTAATATCCAATTAAATTTCAATTAAAAGAAAAATTTGAAGTTTAATTTACTTCTTATTCAAATGAAAGCAAGGTTTATGACAATAAAAAAGACCATTTTTTTCCCCTTAGAGCTTACACTTGGCCAACTAGTCTCACGTTTCTCCCTAGAGAATAAAAAATTCGGTATTATTCGGAATAGAGGATTAACAAATTTTAGTCATATACTTCCTTCCCCTAATGAGTTGCACCCATGCATTAATGTTCTCTAATATTTTTGCCTTCCCTAGCAGAGGAAATCTTTTTCAAGAACAATTTCTCTGACATGGACATCTAGACATATGTATGTCTACAGGTTATAGCCCAACATGTTTTATTGATTGTATTCAGGCAAATAGTTAAATTGTTTATGAGTAGAATTATCTATTGTTCAGAATCCAAAATCAATGGACATTTAATATGCATTGTGCCTTTCTATCCTGTGACTAAAATGTTGAGTTCAGTTACTACAAAGTCTAGCAATATGAAGGGAAGTCTATATTTCTTTTCTAGGGAGGACAAGGGCCAGGATCACTATTAAAATGTCTTAAAAAAAGGCACAGTACATTAAAAGAATCCTAGCACATATTTTTATTCCATAATAATTTTGCCTTTTCCTCTTTAGAAATGCAATTTGCCAAAGAATAACTTTCCCTCCAGAGAGCTACTCTAACATGTCAACTCAGTGACTTTCCCCTCCTTCAGGAAAAAAGCAAGAATATCTCCAGGGCACCTTCTGTGGGTAGGCTGGTGGGCAGCTGAGATGTCGCTGCTCTTCTGGTGGTCGTTAAGACCCTGAATTGTGTCGTTGTTGTTCGTATGGTTGTGGTTGTTTGAGAAGAACTTTCCACTGGCTCCGTGTTCTCACACATTTTCTCCTTTGACTGATGAGAGAAACAAAAGGGAAAATAATTTGAGTGATCACCCATATACTTTTTAAAATTACATCGAAGAAGCTGTAATTTTAAAGCTGTAAAACACAAAAGAGCTTAAAAAGATGTAAACCCCAAATCAAGATGAGGAATAAATTATTTTTGTACAGGAATATATTTATAGATTTTACTAATTTACGAAGTATATAAAATAGACCAGAGGAGAAAAATTGGATGTAATAAAGCATTTCCATCTTTAGATATTTGGATGTCATCACTTTCTGCTGTTAGCCTTTCATATTTCTATCATGCTTATATCTTGCCCTAAATTTTCTATCAATATATTTATAAAAGACATGATGTCAAAAGGGAGAAGTTCATGCTACAGGAAAAACATGTGCATAAAGATAAGGTTTAAAGCATGTAAAGAAAGAATGCATTCCCTTCATATCAAGTTGATAATGCTAAATTCTAAAAATTTGCTAACTGTTTCATACTACTTTATTGTTTCAAAAATAATCTACCAGAGGTTGAAGGGATATCTAAAATTTTGTTTTTCTTTATGAAATATTCAAAACCACCCAAGCAGAGGATTGAACAGCACTCATGAAATCACGTAGCCTGTCTTCTCCCTCGCAGAGCTATACTGAGGACACCAGGAAAAGGTGCATGTCATTTTTTTTTTATTTATAGGCCACAAATGTAAATCCTATGACCTTCACCAGTAACAATCTCCAACATCCAAACTCTTCTGGTTTCGAAGCTTCTCTCCGCCTCTTCCTGCTTCAGTGGGCTCTATCCCTCTGGTAGGCCTTGAATAGACGGTACTAATCCCATTTTTAAAAATTGATATTAAATAAATACCTTCCTTAACCTTCTCTTGTCATTAGTGAAGTATAATGTGCCTCATTACTGGTTCAGGAAGAGTTCCTGAGACAGCTTCCTTTTTACTAATTGGATATGATACAGGTTTCTTCTCCACTTCAAGTCCCAGCATCCTAGGGGTCCATTCCATTCCCCAAACTTCAGTTCCTGCATCTTCCCAGCCCCAGTGATCTCACGATCTCCTCCTTGATTCCACTTGAGTTATCATACCCACAGCCTGGACCTTATCTGCAGTTGGAAATGCTTTAGTTCTGAAATCATAAACTCATTATCCTGTTTTCTGTCTTTCCATGAACCTGTTCACTCAAATTCTTTTTATCCTTTGACTACGTAGGAAGCCCAAGCACAATGATTTCTTCCTTTAGTCTCCTTTTTTCATCACTTCAATCTCTCTTTTCAATACCCTCAAGCATCTTGCCTTGTTTTGGTATTTTTCCACAGCACCTTTTCAGAAAATCTCCAATACTGAATGTAGTAAAAATATCTGCCTTTTCCCTGCCCGCAACAAAGCCAGGCACGACTGGAGAACAATCACACAGCCCCGACCTGGAGCTTTACAAACTTGCCCCTGCATCCTCAGCGGGGGGCCTTCCATACTGCCTGGCAAGACTGCCTTGCTTTGCTAAGCTCTCAGATTATCTTCAGTATCAATTTCAAATCCTCTCCACTCTACTTAAAACTACAATCCCGTAGAGACTCTCAATTTTACCCCATGGGCTCACCTTTAATTTCCTTGTAAAAGAGTCATCAGCAAGAATTCTTTGAATTTCTTTACAAATCAGCATTCTTGCTTGAATCTGTACTGACCCATCCTACTTTCCTTCTGTCATAATGGGTAGGGTCCATGATTTATAGCTATTCTCTCAGTCTCTACTCTGGCCCAACTCAGCCCACCTTCTCAGGTATTGTGAACTTGCTCATTTGATCCTATCCTTTCTCTTCAATGTTTTCAATCTCTAATTTTCCACTTCCTTGTTGCCATCAGCAAGTAAACATACTCAAGCATGTCCAATCTTACTTTAAAAACTCAGTCATCTGTCTTCTCCACAACGCATCCTGACATTATCCTACTCCCCTTCCCTTCAGTCATACCCCCAGAGAGGGTGGTCTGCCTTGGTCTTCTCAGACTCCCACATCCTCACTTATGGCAATCTTGTTTTTACCCAATCCAACTTTTTGAAATTTCTCATATCAGTGTTTCTAAATATCTCCTTATTTACTAATCTTCCATGGTAAGCTCTTAGTATCTCATCAGCATTTGGCACAGTTGTCCACTTTCTAATCTTGGGTTCTGTGACACACTCTCATCAATTTTCTGATACCTCTCTAACAACTCCTTCTTTATTTCCTTGTATATCTGGCTATCCTTTAAGTGCTGGTAGGCCTTATGGATCTTTCTTGACCCATCTTTTTGCTGTATGTGTTCTCATTAGCAGTTTCCACCACACTTATGATTTCAATTACCATTGTTATGTTGATTATTCATAAATCTGTATCTCCAGTCTTCATTTCTTTCTTGAATTTTAGGCCCATATATTCATCTATTTGAATTTTTCGTATGGATATCACAGACATCTCAAATTCAATAAGTCTAAAATGAAACTTGCCACATATTATTCTCCTCCCATGTTTCTATTCTCAAAAAATAGTAGCATCAAACACTCTAACGTTTAAGGGGAAAATCCTGGACTTGTTTTGCTTATGGTAGTAAAGGCACACTGAAGACTGTAAATGGTCCTCCTGCTACAATCCAAGTAGATTCTGGATCTAACACAAATTTGAAAGCATTACTAGGATTTTCAGGATGTAAAGAAAATCTCCAAAGGTGCCTTTCTTTTGTCTCCTCTACAAAACAAAACAAAGCAAAAGCTGTGTGCTATGAAGAGAGTAGGAGCAGTACACATTAAGCCAAGTAAAAAAATCAGAGTTTGTTCTAAGGGGAAAAATGTCAAAAATCAATATTGTTCTGAGGAGATCAAGCCTTGTGCCAGCAGTAGATGGAGGAGATGAATCTAAACTTCCACTCCCCATATTAAGGCAGGGTTTTGGGGGATACCATATCAAACGCTCTTGGGTGGAAAGCATCACCTATTAAGGTCCTAGGGATTCCCACGGAATAAGATCAGAGAAATACGCACTTCTAATTAAAGGGTACAGAAAGAAACACAGAAAGAAAGAGCACTCTGACGAAGTCAGCAAAGACAATGAACAACATATTTAGACTACCAGAAACTTCAGATATTGGGATCACCCAATATGGGATATACAGAAATTATGTATGAAATATTTAAAGACATGAAAAGTAAAATTTAAAAATGAACTAGTAGCATAGACTATAGAAACGACTTGGCAGATTAAATTTAATTTAATCAATTAACAGATTTAATTAATTTAATTTAATTTTAATTTTGTGTCAAATTTAAATTTTAGACATGAAAAACATATTTGTTGAAATTACTACCTCGATGGATAGGTTAAATAGCAGATTAAACAAGATGAAGGAAGAATTAACAAACTGGCAAATAGATTTAAAGAAATACCCCAGGATGTAGCACAAAGAAAAAGAAGATAGATAATACAAAAGAGAGGTTAAAAGACACAAAGAAGTGATGAGAAGGTCAAACCTATCTGCAAACGGCTCAGAAGGTGAAAATAAAGAGAATGGAGAAAGTTTGATTGAATAGTACATTTATCAAACTTGACACCAAATCAATTAGAAAACACACTTTCTTCTTGAGCACATGCAGATCATTTGTGCAAACTGTTCATGTACCATTCCATAAAAAAGTTTCAACCAGTTTTAAAGAATCAGTATCATATAGAATATGCTCTCTGACAACAATTCAATTATGTTAGAAGTCAATAACAAAAAGATAAATTTTAAGAAGTTCCATAATTTGGAAATGCAAAATAATTCACAATTCAATCTAATTCCAATAAAAATATTAACAAGATTGATTGATTGATTACAGATCTGATTTAGTCGAGTCTAAAATTTATATGAAGAATAAAAGCACCCAAATAGTCAAAACACTTTTCAAGAAGAAAAAGTAAGGAAACTTCTCCTATAGATAGCAAGATTTCTTCTAAACTATACTAATTAAGCCAGTGTGACATTGGTTAAGCTATTGACAAACTGAACATTAGAAGAGGAGAGCCCAGAAACCAACTCCCTGTCTATATGGAAACTACATAAGAGAGAGCCGACATTGCAGGAAATTGCCAAAAGGAAGGATTATTCAATAAACGGCGAAATTATCCATAAGGAGGAAAACTCCCCCAAACTGGATTACTATCTTTTATCACACATAGAAACCAACTGCAAATGGGATACAGACCTTAATATGAAAGACAAAGCTTTAAAACATTTAGAAGAGGACAATCTAGAAGTAATCGATAAATTGCTAGAAACATAACCTTCTAAGACTGAATCATGAAGAAATACAAAATCTGAATATATCCATTACTAGTAAGGAGATTGAATCAGTAGTTAAAAACTTCCCAACAAACAAAAATCCAGAACCAGACAACTTCACTGGTGAATTCTACCAAACATTCAAAGAATTAATGCCAATCCTTCTCAAACTCTTCCAAAAAATAGAACAGGAGGAAACATCCAAACTCATTTCACGAGGCCAGCATTAACTTGATATCAAAACCAGACAAGAACACCACAAAAAAGAAAATTATAGTCTAATATCCCTGATGAACATAGATGCAAAAATCCTCAACAAAATATTGCAAATCAAATTTCACAATACTTGAAAAGGATCACACACCATGGGATTTTTTTCCAGGGATGCAAAGATGGTTCAACATTCGCAAATCAATCAATGTGATACACCACATTACAGAATGAAAGATAAAAATCATATGATCATCTCAATAGATGACGAAAAAGCATTTGACAAAATTCAACATCCGTTTATGATAAAAACTCTCAACAAAGTAAATATAGAAGGAAAGATATTCTGTGCTCATGGTTGGAAGAATTAGTTGATTAGTTTAAGGTGTATGACATAATGATTCCATATTTGTATATATTGCAAAATGATCACCAAAAAAAGTCTAGTTAACATCCATCACTACACACAGTTACAAAAATTTTTTTTCTTGTAATGAGAACTTTTAGGATCTACTCTCTTAGCAACTTTCAAGTATGCAATACAGTATTATTAACTATAGTCTCCATGCTGTACATATCCTCTGACATTTATTTTATAACTGAAAGTTTGTACCTTTTTATTATCTTCACTCATTTTGCCCCCTGACCCCTGCCTCTGGCAACCAACAATCTGTTCTCTGAATCTATGAACTCATTTTTTTTGGTGTTTTTTTTTTTAGATTTCCACATGTGAGATCACACAGTATTTTTCTATCTCTGTCTGACTTATTTCACTTAGCATAATGCCCTCAAGGTCCACCCATGTTGTCACAAATGGAAAGACTTCCTTCTTTTTTATGGCTGAATAATATTCTATTGTATATATGGACCACATTTTCTGTATCCACTCATCCATCTATGGACACGTAGGTTGTTTCCATACCATAGCTGTTGTGAATAATGCTGCAATGAACATGGGAGTGCATATATCTTTTTCAGTTAGTGTTTTCATTTTCTTTGGATAAATACCCAGAAGTGGAATTGCTGGATCATATGGTGGTTCTATTTTTAATTTTTTGAGGAATCTCCATATTTCTCTTGCCTAAACTCCTTCAATTTGTCACATTTAGGGCCCTGTTTACCTCACCAATCTCATCTCTCACCACTCCTCTTCTTAGCCTCAGTCGCCCTTCCAGCATCATCTTAAATATCACCTCCTCAAGCAAACCTTCCCTTATCCTACTTAACAAGACCACATACTTGTAGTTACTGTCTTTGTCCCTGTCATTCTCTAAGTGCAGTCCTTTGTTCAGTGGTCTATCTATCCTGCTGGACACACTTCTTACACTTTTACATGATCAGTGCTTAGAACAGTACATGGAAAATGCTCATATTAGGAATGCACTTATTGAATGAATTCATCTCACAGGATCAGAAAGAAAATTTAACTCTAGTTTTAGGCACAGAAAATGGACCAGAATTGGTGACCTTGTTTACTTACCTGTAAAAGAAGGATAAAATTGCTCACCATAAGGCTAGAAATGTTGATAATTTAATTACAGAAGAAAGAGGAAACATTGAACATTAAAGAATGTACTAGACTCTGAGCGCCTTGGGAACAAGGGGTGATTTTTTTTTATCTTTGTAATTTTAGCACTGAGCACAGGCCACAGAACATGGTAAATTCTCCACCAATATATTTAGGAGGGCTTAAAATATGATGGATTCTTCTCTGTCTCCTAGGGTTCATGGTAGGCACACACTGAAGCAAGAAAATTAAATGTCTGAAGTACACCCTTGATCTTTACATACATATAGATATTCAATTTCATCATTTTTTTTACTGAGGTAACTGTGATTACATGAAAAAAACATCAACCTGAAAACACAACTATGGCTTCATCACTATATTTTCTTTCTAAATTATGTTGTTAAGGAAGTGAAATGAAATAGATGGATTAGTATATATCACTGTAATTCCCCAAATGAATGTCAAAAAGTTGATTAAAGCTGCATTGGCAATACTGTACTTAAAGTTCAAGAATATTCTCAAAGATGTATTTCTCAAGAAATTTATGAGATATCATAAATAAAAACTTAATTTAAAAAAAAGGCTCTAGCAACCATTGATCTCCTAATAGTTTTCAAAACAGCACTTTGGCATGATTTGCTTTACTGAATGAGATAACTTGCATAATTGTGCATGGCTTTTATTCAAAATTCATACCCTAAAACTTAACAAAGGGAGAAGAAACAAATACTTTTCTTTGTGAACCTAATAGGATATCTTTATGTGACCTCGAAATGACAGTGTAAATGCAACTCACTAGAAAATTTGAAACAGGTTAAAATTGCTTCTGCAATTGTATACACTCGGGTGAATCACTTTATTGCATCATTGTCTCTATAACGTTTGCCTGGGAGTTACTGTTTCCGTGTTAAACCATTTTTAACTTCTTATATCACGCCGGTTTGCAGTAATCAATCTTTTCCTCCATACCATTGGTTTTGTTCTTTGAGCGAAAAAGATGAACAATGGCTTCTAGATCTTAGAAAAGCAGCAAGTGTTTAAGAGAATTGCCCTTTGCTCATAGAAATTCAAATCCTAGTTCTACTACTATTCACTAGTCACATACCTAACTCCGGATACCCTCACTGCACCCCCCTCCCCACCATCTCCCCTCTCCCTTCCCTCTTCTCTTGATAATATGGAGGCAACAACAGCTCCCACCTCATAGGATGGGTATGAGAACAAACTGAGATAGTATTTGTAGAGTTAAACCCAATGTCTGGCACATTTTAAGGGCTCAGTAACTGATGGCTATTCTTGCTAAATTAAATACCATTTTCATTAAGTTGTAGCAACTATATATGACAGCTTGGTCCCAGGAATCTTGTCATAAAATCACATACATACCTCTTCAGGGCATCCACTGTCCACCCAGTCCTGCCGATGGCGATCAAATCCACTGGAACATCTTCAGAGAAGACCACATTGCAGTTCAGAAAAGAAAGTATGGGGTGGAGAGTGGAGGGGCAGAAATTAAAAGAAAAAGATCAGTAAGTAGTTAATTCTCGTATTTTCAGTTTAGCACAACACAAACTTTCCTCTGTAGAACTGTTCATTGGAGCAGCAGTGAAGCATTGACTGTGTTCTGAGTAACGACCCACTCCTTAGGTACTCATGCTATTAGAATCACACCTGGCAACAAATCAGTCCACTGAGGCCCACTACCCTGTGCAGAACACCTGAATCCTCATGCAAAGGTAAGTCCAATCGCTATTCTATGAAGTTGGTTTCCTTTCTCCTCATCAAAACAAATGGATACAAACAAATTTTCTGCAGGTATCATTTTTCAGGATTTTAGATCTTTTTATTTGTTTTTCTTATTATTCTTTTTTTAATTGAAGACCCGTAGTTGCACTTTACTTTATTGTGCAGTAAAGTGTTAACTCAGCAGGTTTGGGGTGTTCGAACCCTCACATTCCAAAGAAAGAACTGGCCCTTGTCCGGTTCCTGGGAGATGACCTCTAAGACGTTGGAATATCCTGCCTGATAAGGGTGTCTTTCTATATCTTTGGTCTTGGGCTATGCAAGATAGTTTACGCTAACAGTATGATTTATGGTGAATGTCTGTTTTTATTCACCTGGAGCCCTGGGCCATGCTGTATCAGTTTGACCTCTTGCAGGGGCTGGAGTCTAGAGATAAGGTCAGTCACGGGGCATTTCATACCTACATGACCGACCCTCAATAAAAACCCTGGACAGCAAGGCTTGGGTGAGCTTTCTCGGTTGGCAACACTTGGCTTGTGTTTTCACAAATTGTTGCTGGGGGACTTAAGTTCTGTGTGTACAACTCCGCAGGGAAAACACAACTGGAAGCTCGTGTCTGGTCTCTCCTGGACTCTGCCCTATGTGCCTTTCACCTTTGCTGATTTTAATCTGTATTCTTTTGCTGTAATAAATGCCAACCTTGATTATGACAGCTTTTCTGAGTTCTGTGAGTTCTTCTAGCGAATCAGTGAACCTGAGTGTGTTCTTGCACAACCTACCAACACTATGATTAGGTCATATCTAAAAGGTTTAATTCAGCAAGCCCTGGGTTAGCAAGATTTTGTTCACTCCCACTCTCTTCCTTGACTGGAATAATTTTCTGCCCTCTCTATCTATTAAGCTACAGTCCACTCATTTTTCAAGATCCCAGAATTACTACGCAGAAGAGCCCATTCTGACAAAGCTTTGTGGTTGCTGTGATCACATCTTACTTTACTATTTAATTTTTTTTATACATATAAACTTTCATGTGCTTATGTCTTATTTACCAAACTTGATTGTGAACATTTTGACGTTAGGGCCAGTGTCACATATGATCATACCTAGTATATCTGACACATAATTTCTTTTTCATATTCGAAATTTAAAATATTTTTGATAGTCTATTAAAATTAAGGATTTACATTGCCCCTGAATTTTAATATTTAGGTATATATTTATATATAATATATATGAATCCATATCAATAAATATTAACACAGATATTTACACATTTTTCAAAATAAACGAAAGTCACACAACTTCTGTCTTATATTTTCATATAGTGCTACTTTGCAACTTTTCTTCACTTAGTCCACATGATGACTTTTTCTAAGAATGCTTGCCAGAGATTATGTACCATGGCATGAATGAACATAATTTAATTCAAGTGGAATGTGAAAACAACTCTACTGTCAACAAAAAAGACCATATCTATCATTCTGCCTGGACATGATCCATTACAGCTCAGCTATTTTATGCCTCCAATCTATGTTGAATAAGCTTAAGTGTGGAATAAACATCAGTGTGTGATCTTGTATCTAAGTTTGAGAATCCCCAGTTGGTCAAGGACATCTCTGGTTACCCAAAGAGATTCCAATGTTTGGAGTCTGTTTAATTCCACATGAATTAGGTGGTTGTTCCCTCTTTTCCTTTTTTCTTTTCAAGGTTGTTTAAATACTGAAAAATATACTGGCATTCTTTTTTGTAATGGGGATATATCGATTTTCTACGGAAAATATATTTTGGTAGCCACCTAACCACAAGTAAATAAATGGAACAAACAATTTTTAAAATGCAGTTTGTCTTTACTTACTCAATTCCAGATGTATTTAAAGCCAGTGGGAAACAATAACTTTTACCATATATTATAATAATATAGTACCATATCTTAAATTTATGGGTCAACTGAAATTTATCCTAAGTAATTAGTCCTTTAAATTGTTAAATTAATCCCAAGGAAAAGTACGGAACACTGCATTTTGCTTGATTTATTAAGTAATCCCCCAGTTATATTGTGTGAAATTAGGTTTTACTGAAAATATGTGATTCAATTAGATATTTCGTTCATTTATTCACAATTCATTTTCTATTAATTGATCTGCAGTTTACTAATTGTTGGGGTGGGAAGGATTGAAAGTGGCAAAATACAAATAAGATTTGGTTTGAAAAGCTCATGCATTTTTGTAACTTACAGTGCCTTAAAAAATCAACACAACTGGATGCTGCCTTTTTAGTATTTTTGTATAACCTAGTAATCTAAATAGTATCTAAAGCAATTATAAACAAAAGTGTGTGTGTGTGTTATAAATCATTAACAAAAAACACCTTTATATTATTTCTGAATTCTAAATAAACTAAATATCACCTTTTTTTTTTTTTTTTTGTGAGGAAGTTTAGCCCTGAGCTAACATCTGATGCCAATCCTCCTCTTTTTTTTTGGCTGAGGAAGATTGGCCCTGGGCTAACATCTGTGCCCATCTTCCTCTACTTTATATGGGACACCGCCATAGCACGGCTTGACAAGCAGTACATTGGTGCACGCCCAGGATCCGAACCTGTGAACCCCAGCTGGCAAAGAGGAGCATGCGCACTTAACCGCTGCACCACTGGGCTGGCCCAGGCCCCCAAATATCACTCTTGAGAACACCTTCCTCTTTGCACTGAGCTCCTGTGTTGTTTTTTCTAAAACACAATGACGTTAACCATGTAATACTCCAGCATATTGATTTCCAGACATTTTTAACAATGCTTGCAAACAGGCTTTCCACTGGAATCACCTAGTATTCCTGTTGAAATGCAAATTCCTGAGTCTAGGTGAATAAGATTCTCTGCCAATTTGAGTCCAGCACTTTTCATTGTAAACAAGCACCCCGGGTGATTCTTACCACACTGAAATCTCAAAACTACTAACTTCCTGTGTGATATATCAACATGGCAGGCCCCTTCCCATTCCTCCCACACATCGTCTAAACCTGTTCTCATGCCTGTTGGTGCCCCTCCTTGAAAGTGCTGTGCTGTTTCATGTCTCTGCCTTTGAACATGCTATTACTTATGTCTGGAATACCTTCCTTGTCTCTAATTAGCAAACTCAATTCAACTCAAGGCTTAATCTCCTCCAAGAAGCATCTCCTCCTCCTCCCACCCAGAAGAGGTAGCAACCCTTTCTCAGTGCCCCCCAATATTAAGTGCTAGAGTCTATTATTATACCACAATTGGTTGCTTTTGAGCTTATTCTACTCACAAGACTTTGGGGAGAGCATGGTTCAAAGGGAGGTCCTCAAGTCAAACCGCTTGAGTTAGAATTTTGGCTTGGGCACAAAAACAGATAAGTGACCTTAGGCAAGTTATTTTTTCTATCTAAGTTTGTTTCCTCATCTGTAAAATGTAGTAAGGGAGGTTATATAATAATTAAAAGTAGAGTGTTTGGTACATAGTCAACAGTTAGCAAATATCAGCTGTTTTTAAAACCTAAGTAATGTCTTTGTAGTATGCATGTAGCAAGGTTTACAATTGTTGAAAATGAATAAGTGAGATTTTCATTTTATTGACAATATTTTGGAAAATGTTTAGGAATTAATTCTGTGTACCATATTAATGTGAAATGTGTTTTATACCTAAAGTCCTTTATCATCATCTTTGGGAATTAGCATTATAGAATCTTATGAGAGAAAATCCAAGTTGTTCTCAAACATGACCCAAATCTTAATTCAATATTTATAAACAGACAGAGATTATGTGGTTTTGTAAATATTCCTCAAAAGTTGATTTCGATAAAGTCTGAGCTCCTAACCGCAGTAGGTTTCTAATGTTTTTATTTTCAAGTTATTCCATTCTTCTCACTATTACCTAATTCCAAAACAAATTGATGGAGAGTTATACTTCAAATTAATTGTACTATTCTCCACTCAATTTCAATGGGATGTTGATTTCAAAGCCCCCAGGAACCATGTTAAGTGAACCTCATTAAATAAAGCAGCCTAGAAAACAAACAATATTCTCCTAGCTTGCAGCATCTATTCAATTAAGAGATTAAAGTGTAGATCTCATCAAATCTCTATCTTATCTCAGTTTTGTAGAAAGGGTTTCAGAAATACGACTTATTTTGAAAGCGTAGTATATTCAGGTGAAGGAAATAGAGTAAATGTTAAAATATATACATAAGCAGTACATAATGATTAACAATGAAACGCATGTCTTACTGCACAACTGAACACGTGTCATTTTATCAGTGAGATGAAACATCTACAAGAGAGAACTTAGAAAGAAACTTCACAGAATCTTAAGACCTAGTTAGGAATTTTCTAGATCAGTTTCTAGATCAAGAGTCAGCAAGTTTTTCTGTATAGGGCCAGGTAGTAAATATTTTTGATTTGCTCAACTCTGTGTTGGAGCAAGAAAGCAGCCATAGACAGTATGTAAACGGATGGGCATGGCTGTGTTCCAATAAAACTTTATTTACAAAAACAGGAAGTGGGTCAAATTTGGCCCACTTGCTGTAGTTTGCTGACTTCTGTTCTAGATTATTATCTGAAAATTAAGATCTGTAAAATTCTGAAGACTTTAGGATAAATACCTTATCAAGGTGTCTAATGATTTAAATGGTTCTTATAGCCTTAGGTATATTTATCAGAGTGGGCTATATTAATGGAAAAATCAATTGTA